TAGGGCAGAGATTGTTAAAAATTATTTCTCTCTTACAAACTGAACTATTTATGGGGAAATGTTATGTCTGAGGTTTGCTTTAAAACCCTTCAAAGCAAACAACCATCCCCAAACAAAACACAAAAAGCAGAAAGGGATAAATGAAACAAGATAGCAAGATAGTCACAATTTTGAGGCCTATGGGGTTTTTATTATACTATTCTCTTTTTTAAATGTATGCTTGATATTTTCCATTAAAAATCTTTTAGATAGGTATATATAAAAGAATTGTCTATCTCCTAGATATATTCTTATTACTATATATCTTTATGTTTCTTTCAGTTATAATAAAGAGAAACCCCAATTTACACTGGCTTTAACAATGAAGGGAAGGTGTAGATTGATATAGCTAAAATGTTCATAGCAATTCTAGGTGTCAGGTGATACTTGATCCTACAGCTCCATTATGGTACCAAGGCCTGAATTTCTATCATTGTGCTTTGCCTTTTATGATGTTGGTTTCATCCTAAAGCTCATATCTCTTCTCATTTCAAGAAGACTGGCAATAGCTACTCGGTTACTTATATGGCAAAAGCTGAATTTGTTCTAGCATTTCCAATAAAAGTTCTGAGACGGTTGGCTTAAGGTCATATGCCTAACCAGAGGTAGAATCCTTCTCTTAATAACTTAGTTATGGTCACATTCTCCACTCCTGGTAACCAGGGCCAGGAACCTCTCAGATTAAAAGGAGGAAAGGTAAAAAAGGTGTTTGGTGGCAGTCAACAAATATCAGTCACATGTATAAAGCTCCTCGTAGAATAGAACAGAGGGCACTGAACACTACCTTCCAAAAGTACAGGATTCATGTGGAGCTGTGGTCAAAGACTAGTGGATGGTCTATAGTGGTGGAAATTTCCTTAATGACAAGATGGATAGCATCTTGTACAGAGAATGGTGGTGAGGGTATAATGTGCTCCATTCTGGAGGGAGTATATACCCCATCATGTTACCTACTGTAGGTGAGTGCTGGGTTTGTTCTGGCTGTCCCAGGCTGTGGTCAGAGGAATATTGTCCTGCCTCATAACATTTTTCCCGTACCGTGGAGATAGTCGTGATCACTAATACCCAGATCTGATACCAACATGCCTCATTTAGCATGGCTATTTGTCTCAGAAGCATATTTAAATATCTACCTCTATAGCTACCCACAAAGTGTATTTGTGTATGTGTTAATATGTATGTGTCACAAATATACACAGAGAGAAATCCAATACAATATTGTGTAGTTTATTTAGGTATCTTTTCTCATGATTTCATGGTCAATTTGGTAGAGAGAGCCCTTGAGATGGTCTCAGAACATGAAGCTAATGCACCATAATGTATTTTCTTCAACTAAATGACCATTGACAATCTATTAAATCTGCCACAGTCTGTACCTGGTCCAAGTACTGGGGATTGAACCCAGAGGCGCTTTACCATCAAGCTACATCCCTAGTCCTTTTCATTTTCTGTTTCAAGACAAGATCTCACTAAGTTGCTTAGAGTCTTGCTAAATTAATGAAGCTGGTCTTGAACTTGTGATCCTCCTGCCTCAGCCTCTCATACCTCTGTGATCACAGGTGTGCACCATTGTGCCCAGCCACATATTCTCTATCATGTCTTGGTAATCATTTTTGCCTCATAACCACTGATAAAAAGATTTTAAATAAATCTACTGAAGGTGTCTCAAAGTGGCCCAACCTTGCTCCCCAGTGAACCTACACAAAAAACTATACAAGTAACAAGTGTAGAAAGATTCAGTAACAAAAATATGGCTTTATACTTATGTATCAGCTTTCCATTACTATAATACCTGAGATGATCAACTTAAAAAAAGAAAAGATTTATTTTGGCTCACAATTTGAGATTCCAGTCCATGATTACTTGGCCATTACTTTTGGGTATGTGGTAAGGGAGCAAAGCTCAATGGCAAGAACTCCACATCTGGGCTGATTCTAGCAACTGGCCACTTAGACTAGCAGGGGGAGATGAAGGCAGTCTAGACTAAGAAATGATACAGTTCTCAGAAACAACTTTGTTAATACTGCTATCTGAACAAATGAAAATAAAGCACCATTCTGGTTTGTGCTGGAAATCATCTGGCTGCTTTTGAAGGACATATTCATTAGAACTTTAGTGCTTAATGTTTAAGGCTAAAGCTACAGTTGCCTCTCATATTTCATATTTGAACAAAGATTCACAAAACCTTTCTTCCAAATTCTACCCCAAATTTCAAATCTAAGACAATGTGAGACACTGTGTTGATCACTACAGTCTAAGCCAGGACTTTCCCACTGGCAGCTTCTCACTGAAGAACTGCAACTGTCCTAATTTCCTGCTCAAGTTTCTCCCCAACTGTCATCTCTTAGCTCAGAGCAGCCACTTTCCTCTCTACACCAGTCTGAGAAAATGTGCTTTGCCCTATATCTCTTCTGTTTTCTAAGGTATACAACTGACAGTAAGTATAACAGAGGCAGTTTCCAAATTATACTATTCCATCAAGAATGGAAGGTGGCTGGGGATGTGGCTCAAGCGGTAGCGTACTCACCTGGCATGAGTGGGGCACTGGGTTCGATCCTCAGCACCACATAAAAATAAAATAAAGATGTTGTGTCCACCAAAAACTAAAACATAAATATTTTTAAAAATCTCTCTAAAAAAAAAAAAAAAAAAAAAAAAAGGAAGGTAACCCCTACTCCCTCCCCAACCCAAACATCAATAGACACACCACCTACAGGTGAGGTCCAGGGGAGGGGTGGGGGACAGGAAGACAAACAATGAGGAAAACAGAATAAAGCTAGAGAGGAAGGAAGGGTTGCCTTGTCCACTTGAACCATTAATTTCCCCTTGACATCACTGTCCCAGACAGCAATTTCTTTCTTCCCTATAACCTACAGTCTTGAGTGCCTAATTGTTTCAACTGGAATTGCATTAGCTGCCAAGCATATAAGAGAAGCTAGATCCTTAAAGGACCAAAGTCAGGTGAAATGAAAAGGGAAATTTTCTTGATTTCTACAAGTGTACCCACCAAACAATTGCTTAAACAGGCTAGGTTATGCTGCAGAAACACACGGCACCAGTATGTCCATGCTTTAACATGAAATTTATTTTTCATTCCCACAAAATACATTACAGGTCTGGGGGCTTCAGAAAACCTGACCTCTAAGCTGGGACTCAATATTCCTGATGGCTTTGATCTTGTGGCTCCTCTACTCATATATGTGTTTCCATGATTAAGGCAGGAAAGGAGAGTACTAGAGTCTTGCACCAGAAAACAAATGTGTCAGCCCGGAAGTGAGGCTTCTGCCCATGACCCACTGACCAAATCTCTCATGATCCTACCTTACTGCAAGAAACAAGAAAGCTAAACCATTCTTTTTACCTCAGTCCTCCTAAATTCACTGGAATACAATCTCCATGAAAGGATGTGTTCTCTCCTTTGCTGTCTCTTCAGAGTCTAGGACAGCGTCCAGAACACAATAGAGCTGAGTGACTGCATATCTGTTAAGAAATACATGTATGTCCTGAGAGAATGGTCAAAGACTGAAAGACTAGGCAGACCACAGCCTCATAGCTGGCTGGCTTAGAAAATAAACTTGGTGCAACTGACCTCAGAGATAAAACTGCCAAGAGCTCCTGACCAATAGCTCAGGTGGTTCTCGTGATGTACACAATAAAACACTAAAGCCAAGAATCAAGTCATCTTAGCCTAATAACTGTAAGTGCTCAATTTCTGAATGGAGTTGCCACAAATGCCATTTGCCTCCTTAATGTAGCTGGCCAGTCCAACTTACCACTGGGAAGCAGGGGAAAGGGAAAGAACATATACTCACCATGTTTCTATGGGCAAGGCCCTGTTTTAGGTGCTGTACTTTCATCAATCCATCTAATCCCCAAACAACCCTGAATTGAATGATATCTCTATTTCAGAGAGAAAATGGAGACAACAAGAGTGTTTCACAAACCAACCAAGAAATGCCAATCAAGAAACATAAGTGTTTTACAAGCTAGAATTCAATATAACACATTATTCAGGCTGGCTGTGTAGGGATAACGTAATAAGTTGGTCCTACTAATCCTGCCTTCATATATGATAGATGATGCTATGTGATAGTCCACAGACCCTCTAGCAATGAGTTCTTAAGCCTGTGTATGTGTGTTTGGGGGAGAGGTACTGGGGATTGAACCCAGGTCCTTACCTATGCCAGGTAAGCACTCTAACACTGAGCTACATCCTCAGCCCTTTTTAAATTTTGAGACAGCATCTCCCTATTGCCCAGGCTGGCCTGGAACTTGTGATCTTCCTGCCTTGGCCTCCCAAGAAGCTGGGATTACAGGTATGCACCATACTGGCCCTCCATCTCTTTGAGTCTCAACTTGTTATTTAAGAGAGACTTGGAAGAGATAATTAATCTCTTTCTTGACATACCTAAAAGCCATACCAGGAACAAACCTGAGTTACTGTTTTGTCAGTTTTAAGAAAATCCATAGGCTATGCAGACTGACAGCAATCCATCAAATTTATCACCTATACTGTGCTGGAAAGAACAGACAGGTGGACCCTGCTTAAGAACTTTCAGTGTGAGACATAACAACATGGATGTAGATCTACCTATACTTGCCCAACACCAATCGTCAGTTACCAAACTTTCCTTTTAGGAATCCAAACTCCTGCCGAATACATGTTCAAATAGCACACACACATTCCAGTTCTCATACAAACATTAACTCTTTTTTTCTTAAGAAACAAAAGCCAAATTAAGAAGTAAACAAAAACTGTAAGAAGTTGATCCTAAACTTTCTTTCATCCTTGGACAAGTGCTAATTTTTATGACTGCTTTATCCTGACATCTTGAGGTAAGGAAACAGTCTACTTTTATCACAGAAAATCCTTACATCTAATATATATTCATGGCTACAAATTCCAACCCGTTTTCATATGCTCTCATTAAAGATGTTTTCCATTTTTCAAACACCACCAATGAGAGGCATAAATAGTGCATTATTAGTCCACCTGGCAGATTCCCTAGTGGTGAAGTAAATATTGTTTTATCACAGTAAAATTTGTGCTAACAGGAAGGATTCAAGAGCTTAAGTTGCTAAAAAGTTCAAGAAACTCCAATGATGTCCACTCTAGTGAACAGTGTCTAATGACAAGAGAAAGGAAAAAAATCTAATTTAGCTTCTGGAAAAAACTTTCCATTCGAATTAATTTCTGCCCCACAAGATCACTGAAAATGTTAAGCCTGTTACCCTGAAGACAATGGTTTGCAATTAAATATAGACAAATGTTCACTGTTTTTCATCTTGGAAGACTATATTACAAATGTTTCTACTATGTTGAAGTGACTGGAGAGATCAATGCAAAACCATCTGTATTTACTTCTGTCATCACAGTGAACTACTAACTGGCTGCATCTGCTATCTAAAGCTGAAATTGCTATTTTCCATGTACAATCCCAAAAGAGCCCTTTCCCTTATCCAGATGCTCTTAGAACATCTCTTATGCTAAGGAATTCCCTGACAGTTAAAAGTAAAAACAGTAAGTAGTACAACTAATGTATCCATGGCTGGGTCAATCTTTCTATGAATCATATGATATATGTACCCAATTTTCTGATGAGGAAAAATTCTTCATGCTTCATGATTTTGCATTTTTTCAGTGTCAAACTCCATTTGGTGAATTTCCTCAGAATAAGGACACTGGACAAGCTTCCCTTCATTGGTGGAGTTTCTGGTGTCTAAGAAGGCTTGACCGTCTGCTGAAGTTTCTCTTGCATATACCACAGGTATAAGGCTGTTCACCTGTGTGGGTTCTCCTGTGTTTAATGAGGTGGGAGTTCTGACTGAATTTTTTTCCACATTCGTGACATGTAAAGGGCTTCTCTCCTGTGTGAGTTCTTTGGTGTGTGTGAAGGTTTGTATTTTGACTGAAGCTTTTCCCACACCATGAACACTTATATGGTTTTATTCCTTGATGTGTTGTTAAGTGCTTATTAAGATCTGAACTCCATCTAAACCTCTTATCACACTGTTGACACTTATAAGGCTTCTCTTCTGTGTGAATTCTTTGGTGCTTAATAAGGTCAGAGCTAACTCTGAAGTTTTTCCCACATTCCTGGCATTTAAAAGGCTTTTCTCCTGTACGGTCTTTCTTGTGAAGGTCCATAAGTTTTAGCAGCTCTTGTTTCCATGTTGAAAGTTTCTTTCTTTTCTTCACTGGAAAATCTCGGTGCCATTTTCCTACTCTGTGGGTATCACCATGATTTTCTTTGCCCATTGTTTTCTGGGGAACTTTCACTTTGGCCTTTTTTGATACTGTATCTCTTGGTGCTTGCATTTCCAAGTCAGAAAGAGATACAGGCTGATGATTTTCAGCGTCCTTTTTTTGTTTTAACCCTGCTGGAATAAACATAAGAATAAGCCATCTGTGTCCTAGAACAACAGAACCACAAGGAAGGAAAAATTCAATGGTGATTTATTAAAACAAACAAAATGAACATGGGTTAAAAAAAAATCAGACTAGCAGAACCTTAGAATGTTAAGTCCATGTAAAGGATCACATCAAGGTACATGTCTCCTCCTCCCATGGTATATTTACCTGTAGGAGACTCTCTGGGATAGTCTTTGAACTCTGAGGATCCTTGAACCCATGGCTCTTCCCCTTGCTCTAGACAGGAGATCACTTTGGGTTTGGGGAGCACAAATAATGCTGTGAAATGGGAAAAATGAGGTCAAAGACTTCAACTTCACAATGAATTGATCTACTAATTTCAGACTACTCAGGAAGACAGAAGGACAATTCTACACTTTGTTACCCCAGATCTAGTATCATGTTTACACTATATTATACTGCATTCATGGTTGGATGTGCAAGCAGAGGCTAAGAAATAAACCCCAAGGTAGATCAATGAAAAGGATATAGGGAATAGAAACCCAGTGTACATTTTCCCTCTTCTGTTATCAAGAATACACTCTGTTCAACCAAAAAGGAACCAAATTCCAGAGGTTACAAGAAATACAGGCTGGTCTTAATAACTCAAGAAAATTCATACTGGATAAGACCATGTATAGTGGAGCCAATATGAAAGTCTGTAGGTTAGTATCATATCCACAAGTAACTGCTGTCATACTTATAGCTGTTTATTTAGATTTACTTATTTAGCACCAGGCCATGGATGAGGATGGATTTCTACCCCTCTTATAGTTCACAGTTCTACATTCAGGTAGAAGAAATGGACCAAGAACACTTGGTAGACCTTTTCTAAATAGTTTGGCCAGTATGAGAACTATATATCATTCATTCTTTCAAAAAATATTTATTGGAACTGTGGATTTAACTCCAGGGTATAGCATGTGTTTTGCATGCACAAGGTCCTGGGTTCAATCCTCAGTACCAAAAATAAGTTAATATCTTGTTTTTATTTATTTATTTATTGAGTGGATATGATGCTCTATGGGCTGGAGCTATAGTGGTAAAGAAGCTCAATGTCCTGATTTTAGAAAGCTTATATTCTAGTATACTAGTAAAGCAAGTGAGTAAATAAAACAAGCCAAAGAATGTCAAGAAGCAATAAATGTTTTGAAGCACACTGAAGACGTTACAAAAGAGTCTTATGATTCTACTCTGGGAAGCATTCTTTGACAAAGTATTGCTTGAGCAGAAACATAAAAGTTGAGAATTTTACAACGTGGTAGAAAAGCATGCCAAGCAGAGGAGAAAGGGAAGCAGAAATGAGTATGCAAAATCAAGAAACAACAGGAAAATCAATGTGGCTAAAGAGGATTAAGCAAAGGTACTTGTGGCAGGAGGCAAGGCCAGATCATGGAGAGTCTGAGTGCTCTGATAAGGATAATGAGCTTATTTTGAATTTAAGAAATCACTGTATAATTCTGAAGCAATAAAATGTTATAATCCAAAGAAATTCTTAAAAGATCACTCTGGTCATTGTGTGATAAACAGATAGTGGGAGGGCAAGAGTAGAGGCAAGGCAACAGAGTTAGAAAGCTATCTGGTTCGAGATGATGCTGCTTTAGATGAGGATGCTAACAGAGTTCAAGAGGTTGAGTCATAGGTGAAGTCAGTACATAATAAAGTGGAGCTAAGACAACTTGCTTATGGGTTACTAATGGGATATGATGGCAAAATTAAAGGATAACTATTTGGGTTTTTTTTTTTTGCCTGAACCATCTAGATAATCCTTTACCAAGATGGGAAAGATGTGTAAGAGCAGATTTGGGATAAAAGAAAGGAAATGGATCAAGAATTCTATGCATGATAAGAAATTTGCATGTACATTTGGGAAAAGCTCCCACATGTAAGGGACACATCTTCTCCCTCCCCACACCATCTAGTTGAGAACCAACCAGCTAGAGAAATCTCATGGGATTTCATTCTTAGTAAGCCAAGAATGAGTCAGGTTACTTGATTTCTACACATGGGAGGAAAAATCTTTACCTAGCGAGATGACAGTCTCATAGTTTTCCTGCATTACATCATTGTAGAGAGCCTTCTGAGTGGGATCCAATAACTCCCATTCTTCCTGGGAAAAATACATGGCTACTTCTTCAAATGTCAACAAGCTCTAAGGAAAATAATGGACTTAGTTTAGTACTTACATTACTACAGAAGCAGCCCAAACACCTAGATAAGAACTGTACGGTAGGCCAGGCTATGAAGGAATTAACAGTACATGATTATAGTTATGTGCCACATAAGAACGTTTTGGTCAATAGGCCACACATATGAAGGTCATTCTGTAACATTATAATGAAGCTAGAAATTTTCTATTGCTTAATGACATCATGGAACAATGCCTTTCTTATGTGTTTGTAGTGATTCTGGTATAAATAAACCTTCTGGGCTACTAGTTGTACAAAAGTATAACACACAGTAATGTACAGTACATATTAATTAAAAACACATTTATTTTTTAAGTTATTGGTTTATGTATTTACCATATTTTTAATTGTTAGGAGTGTACTCCTGGTATACTGGGAAAAAAAAGTTTACTAGAAAACAGTATCCCAATGTTGTGATAGCAGCAGCTTCATACATCTTGTACTTACCATGTCTCTTGACTGCATCAACAGGTCTCACTGAATAAGTGACTTACATGATCTAGGGATGTGTAAGCACCATTTATGATGTTTGCACAACAAAGTTGTTTAATGACACATTTCTCAGAAAGTATCCCCACCATCATGCAACACCTGACTGCATTATAAAAAGAAAGAAGCCAGAAATGGGTGAAAGGATTGGCAAACAGCCTAAGAGGTACCCCAAGTGACAAAGACTGGATCTAACATGCTTCTGAGTTCCTCCTGGATAGTATGAATAATGGATAGCAGGAAAAGGCAACTCTAAACAGCTAAAAACCAAAGCTCACCTGGGATTCAGACAAGACAAGATCAGGTGCCAATGTCCAGTCTTTGGTGTTTTTCTGTTCAGAAAAGGCTAGACTCTGCTGAGCAGGTACATCTGTGGGTGGAAAAAGAACCAGAGGAAATTTCTCTTGTCTATAAACCTCTTGAGTTCATTTCTGAAATACAGATCCTCTTTACAAGTGATGTGGTGACAGAGTGGCTTCTCATAAATAAGAACCAAGTACCTACCAAATTCTTAGAACTAGTTCCCCAGTTGACTGTTAACTTAGTCATGAGAAATTAATAAAATCCCTTTTCATTTTCCATTCATGCATAAATTGTTCTGAGTTAGGCAATAATTAAAGATATTCCAAAATGAAGCACTCAGGGACTCCTGTATACAAGAAATGAACTTGTCTTTTATTATTTTTTTCCTGGTGCACAATTGTCTTCACATTCTGCCACTAACAGACCATTTGCTTTTGCTTAAAGCACCCTCCCCCCTTTTTTTGGTACCAGGTATTGAACTCAGGGGTACTTGACCACTGAGCCACATTCCGACCCTTTTTTGATTTTATTTAGAGACAGGGTCTCACTGAGTTGCTTAGTGCCTGGCTCTTTGCTGAGGCTGGCTTTGAACTCGCAATCCTCCTGTCTCAGCCTCCCAAGCTGTGGGATTACAGTTGTGTGCCACTGTGCCCAGAGGCTAAAAGTCCATTTCTGATTGTAATTCTTTTTGTATTTTATGAATATGAGTGGCCCCAAACCTTCCTGCTTTGTTTCTTTTCCTTCTCTCCACTTTTCTAAGGAATGGAGTTCATGGTGTTATTACCAGGGTTTTGTAGTTTGTTTCTACACCCCAGGCCAACCCCTACCTTTGCCACTGTCTGAAGGGACATCATAACTGCTAATCATGACTGCTTTCACAGATCTACAGAACTGGGTACCCAAAATATGACCACTACATTTTGGCTTAACAAATTACTATCACATTTCTCAGAAAGAAATTATCATGAAATTCCTTACCACTCTCAAATACAGACTCCGTTTCTTTACAAATACTCCTGCTCAGATGTTCTTGTATACCCTGGTATGTATTCCAAAGTTCTTCATCCTGAGACTTGCCTTCTGATTGAGACTCTGCTGGCTTCACCTTTAAGCCTGGGGCCTCTGCTGTTTCTCCCAAAAGTACTGGCTCCTTTCCCAGCTCATGGATTTCAACCTAGAAATAATCCCCATCCTTGTTACTGCAGAACTTTCTTTTGGTTGGGAAGTGGAACAGACGGTGGAACAAATGTATACTCCAAACTATAAGCTTGAAACAAAACAGCAACCTTTGCATACAAATCTACCTCAGGCCACTACCAAGGTTGGGCACTGAACCTATTCTTATACTGACTTGGTCTGGCTTTTTCCTTTGCCTTAGATCCTTTCCTGGGTGATTTCCTATCTTCTCATTTTCTCTAAAAATTAAGGAATTAAATAAAAGTTTTCCTGTCAATCACATTTACCCCATAACTAGGGGAGGTTTTCATAGGGAAAGTGAATAAATTAAAGAAAATGAGAGAGGAAGAACGGCTCCCACACCCAGATGATTGATACCAAAAGTCCTGCCCTGTAAACTTCCTAGTAGGTCTAAGGTCAGCAGGTGTTTGGCACCTGCCAAGGGTATACCCTTTTTTCTCACTCACCAGCAAAGCCAAGAACAAGCCACAAAGGAAGGGTAATGGAGACCCTTAAGGTAGGGAAGCAACTATCCTTCAATGTCTGTCTTCTTGTAGCTACTCTGTTGGGATTTTCCTTCTTTCCAAATTTTTGCTTCCCTCTTCTCTATTTTCTTCTTTCCCTCTGCAGTTTCCCCTAGTTGTTTGAATTCCTCCTTTATTATCCTTGTTCTCCTTTGGTCTCTAGGCATCCTCCCTATTTTGGATCTACCCTCACTCACCTTATTGGCTTTTATTTGTTTCTAAGAATTCAGGTTCTGTCTCCTCAGGCAAGATCACCCCATTAATCATGGCTCCAAAAAAGAGCAAAATTCAATTATTTTTTCTCTAAAGTCAAGGAAATCCCTGCTGTGATCTATGGAACTAGTGGACTTTTCCTTTCCTGTGTGCTTATGATTTCAAGTCCCAACGTAAATGCCTTAAAAGCACAATACAGTAGAACTAATTCATCATTTCTCAATTAACTTCCCCCATCCTATTTCACTATACATGTTAGAAATCTTCCTTCTCACCCCATTCCTCCTTTGACCAGATTCCCTTTGTAAGTGTTCCACCAAGTCAACAGCCTCCTCAACGCTCTGTGGATGGTGTTTCTGCATCCAGGCCTGCATCTCTCTGGGCAGAATGGTCAGGAACTGCTCTAGCACCAGCAATTCCAAGATTTCCTCCTTTGAGTGAATCTCTGGTCTTAACCACAGACGGCATAATTCCTGAAGCTGGCTGACAGCTTCACGGGGTCCAGCTCTTTTGGGATAATGAAAGTTCCGGAAATGCCAGCAAGAACTCTTGGGATCCAAACTGTCTGTCTGTGCAGATTTCTTACTTTGATTGGAGCTCTGTGTCACAGGCTCCTTAGTCTCCCACAGAGTTCTGATTTGAGGGTCCAAATGCTCAACCACCTTCAGATCTACCATCATCATTCTGCACTAGCACCAGTTTTGCTCCTGTGTTTGGCACCCTGCTGGTGCCACCTTTGATAAATTAGGCCCGTCTGCTCTGGTATAAAAATCAATGTAAGTATCTTCTTCCTACAGATGTTGAGGGCAGAAAAAAAGTACATGTCAATAAGAAAGTCACACAAACCTTAATACTTGCTATTTATTGAGGAAAATGGACAGAAAAGGTCCTATCTTACCTTCCCTTTAAAAATCAATAGCCAGGTCCTTTACTTCTCTCCTTTTCTATTACTCAAAGCACAACCCAGCTCAGAGAAGATAAATGTCAAATAACACTGCTGCCTTTTTTTTTTTATTAACAACTCAGGAAAGGTTGGTAGTTGAGAAAATTGGCATCTACTGGTTTAGGATTATCCTAGGACAATTGGTGTGCTTCCTAGCTCATGTTTCTCACAAGTGAAGAATAAGAGAAAATCAGATTAGGAGAGATTGAGTTCCTCTTAAATTTTAACAGGTCAACCCAGTCTGTCTTTAGTAAGGGGGTATAACTTCTAATGACCTTCATTTATTTGTGAAGATAGAAGTCTTCACTTCATGGAACAGTTGATAGTGCCCTTTCCATCGTACGGATGATGGCAGGAGAGCTTAAGAGAAGGAAACCAAAATAAAAGGAAAATAATTAAGGGGAAAGGTAGCCATATTCTTCTCCAAAAGCATTTCCCAACTAATCAACTAAATGCTCATTATTATTTTTTGCAAGACATACACAGGACGCTATGCAAATGATTTAAATGAATTTTTAACCTAGAACACCCCCCCCACAGCTGGCTTTTATTTACAAATTATCCAGTTTTTGAAAAAGAGCAGACGTGATGGCACATGCCCATATTCCCACAAGTAGAGGCAAGAGGATTGTAAGTTTGAAGCCAGCCTTAGCAACTTACTGAGACCCTGTCTCAAAATAAATAAGAGCTGGGATGTAGCTCAATGGTAGAGCACCCCTGGGTTCAATCCCCAATGTTGGGAAAAGGTATAATGGCAGCTACACCCCCCAAAAAAAACCCAACATGGCACCTGAGAAGCTTCTCTTCCTGCCTCTGCCTTTCCTGCCAGCGCCAAAAACCCCCGCCGGCGCCAATTTCAAATCTCGCTGGCAGGAAACCTTAGCCCCAATAAGAACTAATTTCGTGGGCTCCGGAACTGACATCTGGAAGAACTTACCAATAAACGAGTGACCCGTCATTTACCTAAGCCCTGCCATCTCTCCTTAGATCTATATAAGCCCATAGCCTTTTGTAATAAAGTGGAACTCTCCCAGGGAAGTGTCTTGCGTGGAGGACTTCTTTCACCCAAAACTTAAAAAAAAAAAAAAAAGAGAGAGAAGGGGAGTTGGTGATGGGGGGTGACCCTCTGCGACTCATTTCTTCGAGGGTTATTTAGATCTCTAGGGAAGGCTAAGAAAAGCTCTGCCGAAATGCCACAGGCATTCAAAGAAAAGCCCCCAGTGAAGCATGTTACCCAGCCGTCCCCGCTGCGGAGCCCGGGGCTCGTCCTCCTTTGGCCTGGGCAGAAACTGCTGCGGGAGGTGCCGCCGGCCCTCCCGCGCCCCAGCGGGAAGCCTTCCGGGTGCAGCGGCACACGCCCCAGTTAGCCCCGCTGAGGCCCGCTCCCACGCAAAGGGCGCCAGGAAAGCCTTCAGAGCCGGGCGGTGGCTTCGCCCTGGCCGTACCCGCCGCAGGCTCTGGCCGCCCGGGCCGGATGCCGCCACCTACAGAACACCCGTCTTCCCGGGATGGCAGCTCCTCGGTTACCTCGCACGGCTCGGCTCCGCTTCCAGCTGCCCCAGGCTCAAGCGAGCCACCTACGGATCGCAGGGCTCCGCCCGCTCCGATGCAGGCGCAAAGCCACGCACACCCGCCAGGCCTTCGTTGGACAAGACGCCCACCCGCAGCGTCTCGGTTGTGGTCCCGGAGCCGCGCGCGGCGGGAAGCGGAAGTGACGTGCAGCCACTCCCCTCCCTCGCGTTGATGTGCCCCACGGCCGCGCGCCAGCGCTCACGGCGCTCGGGAGGGGCGGCTGCCTGCCCCGTGGCACGGGGAACAGTCAACGCTTCCGAACCGACAGGGTCCCTAGCCCTCAGGGCCCGCCCTCGCCGCCCTGCCTGGCACGCATGCCCCGGCCGTCGCTGAGGGCTCCTGGAGAGCAGGCAGTTCCTGCAGGTAGGACCCGGCGCGCCCCACGTGTCCGCAAGGCTTTCTGGAAGGGCCACGCGGCGCCTGCCCCGCGGCTGGGGGCGCTGTTTGCTCGTGAGGCAGGTAGCTCCGGCTCCGCGGGCCTCCGGGCTCTGCCGCTCCCCGCAGCTTGCCTCCCCGCAGGGCTCCGGGCCTTTGGTCTGGTCCTGGCAGTGCCTGAGCTCTGCACGAGACAGAAGCGCGCCGGAGGTTCCCCAGCGTTCGCAGTGTCAGCCTGTGCCAGTCAGAGGTTCCCTGCTCGGTGAACTGTGTGTAGCCGGCGCTGGAGTCCGCGAGAAACCCGGAGGGCCGAAGCAACTTCAGCAACATCACTAGTGAGAACTCCAAGGAGGTGAAAGTTGATTTGGGGTTGGGGGAAATTATAAAAGGCCTTGAGGAATTTTCCCCACAGCAGAGTGGGGACACTTGTACAGAAAAGTACAAGAGGAGGCTTGAAAGCTGAAAAAATTAGAATAAAAGATGGGAAGTACATTTTCACAGAGTCAGGCTATGTTTAGAGGGAGAGTTTCAGAAGTAGTTTGTTGTGTTTTTTTTTAAAGGCTTATATGGACCTTATTGCATTTGAGAAAATCAATAACGGAGCTCCAGTTGGAGGGTTTTTGACGGCACATCTTTCTAGGGCAGTTCAACCAGAGGTAAGTTTAAAGTCAGAATGAAGACAGGGGCCATATACTACTTCTGTTTGGGAACAGAATGTTATTATAATCATCTGAGGCAGAGATCATGAAAAAAAAAATACACACACATACACACCCACACATACACATATATATATTTAGTTGTAGATGAACACAATATTTTATTTATTTGCTTTTATGTGGTGCTAAGGATCAAACCCAGTGCCTCACATGTGTGAGGCAAGTGCTCTACCACTGAGCTGTAACCCCAGCCCCAGATCTTGAACCTTTTTAAATGAGATTAAACAGATAGTAATGAGCATTAGCCTCAATCATTTGGATATGTATCAAAGAAGGTTCATTTCCTTAGATCTTAATCAGGTTGAGAATTAATTATTTAAAAAGTAAGTATGGTTCTCAGCCTTTCATAACTAGTAGTAACTTAGCATTGAGAATCTCATCACCTGGCCTAATGCTGAACATATAATTAGAACTTATTAAGTTGAATAACGGAAACTTATGCCAGCAGTGCCCTTATATCTCATTAGTTGGTTAAAGGGAGAAGAAGGGGGAAAGAGAAACTGTGGAGAGAAAGAGGAAACAAAGCAAAATGATGAATAGCAAATGAAGGCCACTGATGCTTTTCACTGTGTGAGGTTTGGTGCCACAGTTGCTTACCCTTCCTGTTGAGCCCATAAAAGTTCCCTGGCTCTTGATGCATCTCTCCCTGCTTGTGCACTCTTTTAGAAGTGATGAATGTACAGCTAGGAAACAACAAAATACAATGAATTAATTTGGGGATATCTGTTCAACTGCCATAGTGGACAGTGTTTTTTCTGGGTAACTGACTAGAGATAATGGTGCTACTATTGGCTAACAAATAATATATTCTTTTATCATTTATAATAGTTACCACTTAGTAGTTGCTTGATTTTAGCCTGTCATTGGCTCTACCATCTAAATATATTCTTTCATGATTTTCTTAGTGTTCTGTAACTCAGAGTTGGCATATCTAGCAACAGATGTTTGAGGAAGACTGTTGCTCTGACTCTTCTGGGTTTTTAGATGAGAGACTTGAGAAATCTATATAGTTGGGGAATAAAGGGGCAGTCAGGCTCTGATGTAATGGGAAGGAAAAAGAACAAATACTAATCATTCTCCTCATTTCTGACATATTTTTTTCTTCATAGCACCTGGAGTGGATACAAGTGGCAGTTTTTGTTTCTTATGAAATTGTTTCTGGAATGAAAACCATGGAATTAGAGTAGAACATTTCTTACGACCTGCAATGGCTTTGGGCAGCACCAGGAGCTCCTGAAAGGATTATCTGAGAGTATAGAAAAGTTTGGCAACAGAAGGAACTATGAGAAGCAACTGATCAGAAATACCATTAGAGAAATCTTTTGAATTCTTCAGACAATTGATTCTTGGTGCAAATTAAGTAAAATCTATACTGAAGAGAAATATGAAAAGTATGTTGACATCCTAATGTAAACAGGAAAAAAAGTGAAATGGTAGACTTTTTTTTTTTTTAACTGTGGTTAAGTATTTGTAAAACTTCAGATTTAGCTCTGAGAATTTCCGTGATTCTGAAGCTTGATATCCTAAATGTGGAACCTTTTCAATGAAAAAGAATAATTGAGAATACATCTTATATACCCAAGAAAGAAGACCTGAGAGTGAAAAAGTGCTACAAACAAATTGTTTACATATAATCTTGGCAACAAAATTCACACTCAGGTTAAAGCTCAGTTTGAGACTGCTATATTGAATACAATAAAGATTGAATTTCATTCATATGTGCAACAGAACCTACTGACTTTTCTTCACTTAGAAATTCTATATAACTGTCCCCAAGCTCTAGCTCTTCAGGTGTTCCAGTGTCAGGGTCCTTGAGGCTTGGGGTCTATACAGGTAGATGAACTGTTGCCCAGTGAAGGCTTCATACAGAGCAACATGAGCACAGTTTTCTGTTCCAGCAGTGAGGTAAAACCAGGTCATTTTGGAAGAAGCCATACTGCATCTCTGCTATACAAGATAACCCTGTCATTACCTTTGAGTTTTTCATACTCCTTTCTCAAGCATCAACTTTGTATTACAGATTTAATCCACCTGGTTCTGTTCTTATGAGCACATGTCTCTCAATGCCTCTACTCTTCATTTTGTCCCTTTTCCTCTGTTGAATTAGAGAATATATGCAGGTACCCCTATCAGGGAGAGAAAACAATGGGGTTCCGAAAACCTATTTCCTGTGTCTTTGGTAGTGGCAATTTTGAGAGTACGTAAGACTGACACTTCAATCATGAGCCCTTATTCCTTTCAGCCCATTACCCTCCAATACAAATGCCGCAACCTTCCAGGACTCTCCACTAGCTTTTTGTTATTTTAAAATGTTTTTCCCAATTCAGTAAGGTATTTCCCTTTTATTTTTTTGGCTGTTTGAAATCAAAATCACTATGAATAAGAGAGGGAAATATACAACATTGAATTTGGAGGAAAAAATGAAGGTTCTCAGCAGGATTGAAGCTGGACGATCTCTTAAAAATGTAATGGATGAATTTGGAATCAGTAAATCAACATTTTATGACATTAAAAAGAATAAGAAATTGATTTTGGATTTTGTACTGAAACAGGACATGCCATTAGTAGGAGCTGAAAAGAGAAAGAGGACAACAGGAGCTAAATATAGTGATGTAGATGATGCAGTATACATGTGGTACCAACAGAAACGCTCAGCTGGTGTCCCTGTTAGAGGCGTGGAGCTTCAGGCTGCTGCAGAGAGATTTGCACAATGTTTTGGACGAACAGACTTCAAAGCCAGCACTGGTTGGCTTTTTAGATTTCGAAATAGGCATGCAATTGGGAACCGAAAAGTATGTGGAGAACAGATCGTAAGTTCAGCTTCAGAAAATGTTGAGCCATTTAGACAAAAACTGTCCTTGATAATCAAAGAGGAGAAACTGCATCTAGCTCAGGTATACAGTGGGGATGAGACTGACCTCTTTTGGAAGTCAATGCCAGAAAACACTCAGGCAAGTAGAAAAGATATCTGCCTGCCAGGGAGGAAAATAAACAAAGAACGGTTGTCTGCCCTTTTATGTGCAAATGCAGATGGAACTCATAAGTTGAAATCAATTATTATTGGCAAATTAAAGCTGCCCAAAAGTGTGAGAGAGGACACAAGTTCATTACCTGTGATATATAAACCTAGTAAAGATGCTTGGTTCACCAGGGAATTGTTTTCAGAATGGTTCTTTCAAAACTTTGTTCCTGAGGTTCGGCATTTTCAAATTAATGTCCTAAGATTCCATGAAGAGGATGTCAGGGCATTGTTACTTCTGGACAGTTCCCCAGCTCACCCTTCTGCTGAATCATTAACCAGTGAGGATGGTCGAATAAAATGTATGTTCTTTCCTCATAACTCTTCAACTTTGATCCAACCAATGAATCAGGGTGTGACCTTGAGCTGCAAACGACTTTATAGATGGAAGCAACTGGAAGAGAGTCTGGTAATTTTTGAAGAAAGTGAAGATGAGCAAGATAAAGGGGAAAACGGGATTTCCAAGATTAAAATCTACAATATAAAAAATGCAGTTTTTAACTGGGCAAGAAGTTGGGATGAAGTAAAGCAAATAACCATAGTAAATGCCTGGGAAAATCTTCTTTACAAAAAGGAACCTGACTATGCTCTCCAAGGCTTAGAAAGTAGAGATTACAGAGAGATTCTTGAAAAATGTGGTGAGTTAAAAACTAAGGTAGATGATGATAAGGTGTGGTTAAATGGAGTTGATGAAGAAAAGGGTTGTCCTCCAAAAACTAAAGGTAGAATTACAAAGGGAGTTGCCCAAAGAGAAGGAATTGAGAAGCAGGCTACTGAATTTAAGTTATCTGCTGTGAGAGAAAGTTTGGACTACCTTCTTGACTTTGTGGATGCCACACCTGAATTTCAAAGGTTTCATTCCACACTGAAAGAGATGCAACAAGAAGTAGTCAGGAAACAGTTCCAGAGTAGAATCCACTCAAGAATTGGTAGTTTTTTGACACCTAGGCCTCATAATATTAAGGATACCTTTAATA